GCACAAACCGTTAGAGTCCCTAGAATTTTTTCTGCAAATTAGGGATTGACGCGATGAAATGATTAATATTTTAGCTGCTAACAAAAACAATAGATTATGAAAGTAATGCCACCTGTAAAATCTGAGCAATTTGCCAAGTGTATAGAAATATTAGCATACATTAAAAAGCAGGTAACAAGCAACACGGGAAAATAATAAAACTATTACAGAATCACCTGATAACAGCACCAAGGTTATCAATGAAGCTATATATTAAAATCATTGTAAAATTATATGATTTACATAAAAGTGATGTAATTCTATACAAACTACAATGTTGTGATAAATTATAAAATTAATCGAATAATATACAGTAATTACAAAATATAAAACCTTAAAGTTTATATTTTAAATATACTGTATATAGACATATTCGATTTGATTTTTTTCTAAAAAACATCAATATGGCATCTAATATTAGTGAAATCTCAAGTGATACTATTATGAGTGAAGTCTTAAACGATACCAATGCAATTCTTATCAGTGACAAGAAACGAGGAAGACCAGAAGATACCGTATGGGAACATATGAACAAGACTCGTTTGAGTGATGGTCATAGCAAAGCACAGTGCATATATTGCAAAAAAGAATAGGCTCGAGAAAAAATTGATGAACTAAAATTGCATTTAGCAAAAGAATGTCCAAAAGCACCTTTCAACTTAAAAATAAGCTATCTTGAAGAATTGGCGGGCATAAGTACAACAAAAAAAAAAAAAAGACATGGATATTTCTCATAATAGAACAACTAGTTTCGACAATATTAAAAAAGATCAAATCAACTTAGCTTTAATTCAATTTTTCATATGTTGTGAAATTTCTTTTTCCACTGTCAATCATCCATTTTTTATCGATTTTGTTCAAAGCCTATGCTTTGAATATCAACCACCTAAGCAAGAAATGCTTTCAACTACTTTACTTAATCAAGAAATAGTAAAGGTTCTTTGGAATATTAATGAAGATTTAAAAACTCAAGAAAATTTAACTTTAGGTATGTTTTAAAAATTAAATTTTTTTATTTTGAAAATAAATAATAATATATATATTATAAATTTATAGCTATTGATAGATGGACGAACCCAAATGGAAAATCAATTTATGCTTTTATTGTAATTACTCCAGAACGAAAACAATATATACATGCAATTTCAGATGAATCCGCATTTCAACATACTGGATATTTTAATGCAACATAAATAGAAGAAGTTTTGACATCAATTGGAATTAAGAAATTTATTGCAATAGTTTCAGATGGTGAATTAGCAATGCAAATGGCCAAACGATTAATTGCAGAAAAATATCCAACGATTTTACCAATTAGATGTATTGCACATCATATAAATCTAATAACAAGTGACATTATGAAGCTTGAATTTGCAAAACAAATTTTAAAAAAGTGTCAAAAGGTGATTACTTTTTTTAAGACTTCTTATCAAGTGGGTGATGCATTACAAAAGATATAATTGAAAATTTAATTACTAAAGGAGAATTAAAAACCTATGTTAAGACATAATGGTCTACAGCTTGGGATTGTATTGATTCTATAATTTGATTAGAAAATAGTCTTAAAAATATAATATTTAATTAATTTAATATTTTTTTTAATTTAAAATATAATTAACAATTTAGTTTATTTTTTAGGTATTAGAAAAATATAATAATATTTTTGAAAATGCCAATACAATACGTACAATTTTATGAGATCGACAATTTTGAATAGATGCAGAACAACTTCAAGCAATTTTAATTCCAGCCAAAAAAGCCATATGTGGTGTTGAATATAATTCAAGCAATATAGCATTATGCTTTCTTGAATTAATAAAAATGGCTAATGCAATTAAAAATTATCGATTACAAATTTTAAGTTTAAACAAGATTGTATCAAATTATACAATAAAAAATGGCATGAATTTGATATTCAAACTTATCTTGTGGCTTTTTTTCTTCATCCAAAATATCGAGGTAAATAAAATTATTTTTATTTTTTAATAATAAAAAAAAACTAATAAATATATTTTTTTTAGCTAATGGATTTCAAGATAAAATTTTTCGGGAATTATGTATTTGGGCAATTAAAATATGGAAATGTTTTGGTGGTGGAGAAACAAGCTCTCGTATTCTTATAGTACAAATACGAAAATATTTAGAATACAAAGAACCATATGATTTTGAATATGTAGATGAACATGATACTTTGGAAATTTGGTGGTCTTCATGCCGACAACCTAATAATTATATTCAACAACTAGCATTGAAACTTTTAGCTATTACTCCTCACCAAGTTAGTTGCGAAAGAGTATTTTCAATTCTTAATTGGATGTCTGAAAAAAAACATAATAGGTAAATATAAATAATTATTATTTAATAATTAATTAATTATTAATTATATTTAGAATTAATTAATTATTATTATTTTAGATTATCTATTCCGCGATTGCAATCTATGGCACAAATACACTCTTATTATATAACTAATGCAAAATCCCAATTAAAATTTTCTTCAAGCAATATATCTGAAGCCGATTTACAAGAAACAATTTATGAAATTACTGAAGCGATGCTTAATAATAGTGATTTTTTTGATTCCAATGAAGAAAACTTTGACGACAATGAAGATTTAATAGAAAATTTAGTAGAAGAATCAACAAATAATTATAATAATGAATTAGAAATAGCATCTATTATAAATTTAAATATATCGGATTTTAATGAAAATAATAGCGAAGATAACAATATTTTGCAAAAAGAGGAAATTAATCATGGTAATAATTCATTTAATGTAGAAAATTTAGTTGATGAATTAATATAAGCATATGTTTTAAATAATTAGAATTTAAACTATTCAATAA